ATATATATAAATATACATACGTCAAAACCATGAAATCAGAATGATCGATCGAATATTAGTAATCAACTTCGTGGAGAGTATTTAACATGATGTACATCGCATTTAATGCACGTATTTGTAAATATAGTCGTGACGACACTTTATTTAAAAAAACGTTTATTTTGATAAAACATAACTAGCTAACGATCATATAATTGCAGCCACAAAATTATTTTGCAACAAATTTTTTGCAACAGGATAAATTTTCATTCCTTGCACATCTTCATATTCAGATGACGTTTTTCAGCGAAATGTTTTCCAACGAGATTCTTTCTTATGCAAAATTCAAGATAACGTGATTCCTTCATATTCAGATGTGGAATACTGGATCATGAATCGATCAAGAATCGACATCTACATCAAGGACTGGATTTTTAATCCAACTCTGGCAAATATCTAGAAAAAATGAAGAAAAGAATGTTTTGAACTCTTCTTTTCGAATTTCGAAAATGTCTTTTCTTCAAAATCTTAACTAACGATGAAATTTGAGAAGCATGGGAATTTATCTGATGCACTTCTACCAATGTATATTAACTTTGATCTTAGCTTAATCCTCAGTACCCACAAAAAGTGTTAGCGTAACCCCATCCTCCCCTCTACCTCTCCGATTTTCATAGACATTCTAACATGCTTTGAGCAATGATGCTGAGGCTGGAGAGGAAAAAAGTTATGTATCATCTCTACAATTTTCTTGCTTGGCGACCTTCTAAAGCACCATTAGCTATGTACATAGTTGTACGATGTAAAGTGCGTGTCGGGATTATCTTAACCTCTTGTATGACGTCAAAAAATCCGGACTTACTGCAAAGTTGAAATGTAAGTAGAAATGATTAATTGAATTATTTATGATTTTTAATCATAAGCACACATCATAAAAAATGATTTAAGTCAATGTTATTGTATTCTTAATATCAGAAAAAGACTGACTTAATGCGCTTCGTGCATTGGTGCCAAATAGAGCATTTTGGACAAAGTGGTGAGTTTTCTTTAATAGAAAACTATAAATATCTTTTAAATCATTCATGTTTTTATATTTTTCGTCAGAAATTTTCACAAGATTTTTAAGTGAAAGAGGCGAAAGAAATAAAATAAAAATGAAGTAATAAATGAAGAAGAATAAAAAAATATAATAAAAATCACTCATTTTCACTTTACAAAAAAATATCGTTTTTATAACAAATCGCAAAAATGCTTTTAGTTTCTTAAAGTTCAACTTAGTTGATTCGTCACTAATAAAATCTTTTTTCATTTATTTTTGACAAAAGGTTTTGAAAAAAATTCGTTTTTTTCATATCTTTTTCCGATGCCTTTTCACTTGCAAAATATCTTTTGTGCTATGACATTTTAGATTGCTATGTGAGTGCTATGACTTTTTAATTTAAAAATTCTTTTTTTTAGTCTTTAAACGATTAAGATTAAAAAAAATTAGTTAAAATCGATGCACTACAATCTGAGATACAAGCAAAAGAAAACGCTGGATTACAAATACTCAGATGTGAGTAGATAGGGGCTTTTTCGAAATGTACTGAAGGTTAATACTTACTTTTTATAATATTTTTTAGGCTTTCAGGGATGTTCTCTACTGAAAAAAATCACGTCTCAAAGTTACATAACAAAAATCATATAATTAAGACAAGTAAATCGCGTTATTCCAAATCAGTATACATGATTTTTTTAAATCACGTAATTTGAAAAAATGATTGACACATGATGAAATATTAAACTGAGATTAAGTTAATTTACATTGGTATAGAAATGGACATAATTCGCGCGTCTATCTCTTCTTATCTTCACGCGGTGACGATCAATCTTTTGTCGTTGTCCTCTCTTTTACTGCTTTGTAATTCTCACTACACATAAGCGTTATGTATAACATATCACATGCCGAGCTCCTATATCAACAGTATTCAATCGGGTTTCCTTTTCAGACAGCGAGTTCTGCTTCGCGTGAAAGCTTCGTCATTACTGTCGTTTAACTACATTGATCGTAAAAATATCACCGCAGGTGATAACTATAGACATTAAAAATCACTTAGTGGAACACATCACATTTACAATTATCGTTACAATTGTTGACAATTGCAAATTATCAGCATTATAGTTAATTTGCATTAATTTAGTGGTTTGTGGTACTTATATATCGACAATTCTTCTTCGCAACGCGTTACTTCTTTTACAACGCGG